TCGCTCAACACAGCGTAAAGCTCCAGCTGTATTGATTGAGCGTATGATGTCCCTCTGCAGCAGCAACGTATTTTAACTGCAGTTGCAGCGTTGCGCCACTATGGAGGCGCTATATCAACAGTAGTGCACCGGAAAGACCTGAAGCATCTACCGAAGAAGAAACGGATCGAATCATGTTTTTTCAAGTGTTTTTTCCCGCTAGTTGGTGCTATCGGCGTCCTGATTTTCCCTGGCGGATGGTACAAACAGGTAAATACTGCTTCTCTTTTTTGCATCCAAGCATGTCGTGTTTATTTAAAAAAAAGTTTCCTCCGTTTTTTAGCGTTGCAGTTATGACAGGCAAAATCATCCAGTACTTTAAAAAGCGACCTCGCGAGGAGGAAAGTCAAGAGTTCAGGTGAAACACAGCAGAGAAAAAACGTAACAGGCAGTTAAAATGCTATAATTCATGTTGGTGACAACGTGGAAATTTGTGTCAGGTCTGAAAGTACTTCACAAGGGACTGGTGATCGCGAGGGTCAGAATGCAGGACAGGACGAGTCGGCGAGGCGAGGGTAATTAATTAATTAGTTTCCAATTAGGAGCATAACGCAAAGCCAACGTGTACGTGGTTTTTATTCCTCTTTCCAGATCTTCTAAAAACACAGAGCCAGTGGCTTTGACAAGCAGTGGCTCAATCAATTTACCTGGCTCAGGCACACTGAGGAAGGCATGCACTGCTATTTATGCCAAAAGCACTGTGCCCCAACACAGCAGGCAATTGCTGCCTCCTTAGTGAGACAGCCATCAACCAACTACAGGCTGGACACATTAAAAAGACATGAGGTGATAGCCATTCACAAAGCAGCAGAAGAGAAGGAGAAATATATTAAAGATGGTAGTACCTAAAAACACTCAACTAATAAAGTTACAAAAAAAATAACATAGTTTAGATAGTTTAAGAAATAATTGGTTGTCGTTTTTTTTAGGGAGAACACTGCAGCGTATACATATATATATAATATATATGATTGAAAACACCATCACTCTTCATGTCTGTATCAGAATAAAAACAAAAATACTTAATGCATGATGAATTGTTTTGTTTAAGGGGAATACACCTCTGCGGAACAGACTGAAGGAGAGGCACTTGGATGTCTGTTGTAAGGTGGCCGTTGATGGACCAGACCAGGAGGCCTTGGACTACAAGGAGTGCATGAGGAGGTTCTACAGAATGAAAAAGAGGAGGCTGAAATGTTCTGTCTGGTTGCGAGATGTGTGAATGAAGTGTACTTTCAATTTAAAGTTGCCAGCTGATTTGTGTATGTATATAGTTTTAATAAATGAATGCTTTAACATGATAATGGTCACACTCTTTTTTGAACCCTTAACTTAAAGTATGTTGCCTGTAAAAGAAAGTGAGTCAGTTGAATTTACAAATACATGCACGTCATGGCGCATGGTCAGGATGGTGCCACCTCTGCCTCAATTTGAGCCAGGAAAAACCCTGATGACTTTGGGGGGGAACACGTGGAGATGGGTTTCCACGACCCATTCTTTCCAACTCCTCCCAGTCGTTGTCTGTCCCCTTCTCCAGTAAGATGAATATCAGCTCCTCACACTAGCAGTGTACATGACACTTTAAAATTATATCATAAATTAATTTGAATAAGCCATAAAGAAGGATAATTCCACTATTTTAGCACTTTACAGTGTGGTGCCTACCTCTAAACTTTCTTCTTTTTTTGCTAAAGCTTATAGTTAGAGCTGATACAGGTTGAGACTACTGGGGGTACTAGCACATCCAGCACATTTCTCTCTTTCTCTATCTTCTATTTGTTCGTGTCTGGCTGCTGTAGATGTTTGCTGTTGTGGACCTGCTTTCCAGCTGCTTCAGCTACATGCATCAGTTTCACCTCTGTCCATCTCTCTCTTTTTGCATCTCCCGCTATCCCCTCTCTATGCAGTCGCAGGAGTTGACTTCCTAACAGGAGTCTGGTTTTGCTCAAGGTTTCTGCCTGTTAAAGGAAGTTTGTCCTCGCCACTATTATTTGCTAAATGCTGCAAAGTGCTAAACTCATGTAGTTAAAGATGAAATGGGAGTGGTATGATCTTACAAGATGGGGCTCAGTCTGATTCCATCTTCACTTTGGGTCTTTGTAAACAGAGTATGGTGCTATATAAGTAAAGAATGGTTGATTGACCTGTATTTGATGCTCTTTTTCTGCAATAAGTAGATCAATAGGAACAACACAGCAGCAATTTCATGGTGAAAGAGTCTGGGCTGGATTTTTTAATAAAGGTAAGGGATATACCTGATATCTAGATAAGATATATACCAAAATATAATAACTCTATTCACAAAAACTGGATTAAAGTGTTTTGATCTGTCTTCAACCGAAGGTAGACAACACCTTTAAAATGTAAAAATTACTAAAACAAGACCATAAGCTTTCTTATCTTAAAATTCTTGTACTAGACACAAGCTGCCAAAACTAGTCTGATACGAGAATTCTGCCATCAACACAGCTCAGAAATGATATATCAGTGTCACAGAGCTGCTCTGGTGCTTTGCAAAGACTCCCTCATATGGCATCATGAAAGTATTTCAATTATGGTTTGAAAGTGTGACAATTTTTACCACAAGGTTATGAGATTATAAATCTTTTTAATTTGACTTCTTACTCTTATTCTAACTCAATGTACAGGTGAAGATGTGTGCCTCAGACCGATTTATCCCATGTTACAGTTAGTGATGGGAAGAGCAGTTCTTTTGACTGTACTGAATCTTTAAAATCCGTTCATTACAATGATTCATTACAATGATTCATTCAAAAGATCCGTTCACTAAATCAGTCAGTGCTTCGGAGCCCTGTCCTGCCAGTACAGTACAGAAGTAGGTTCATTGAACAAGCCCCTCCCCCTCCCCTGCGGCTGAAGTCAGAGCATCGTTTACTGGGTGACACATGTCGTTCATTTGCCAAGTCCTGAAGGAAGAATCACTCCCCTGCCCTGAAAAACTCACCTGTGTGTTGTCAGCGGAAACAACAGAGCAGCAAGCAGCATGCCCACTAAACGAGCGTGAGTTGTCGCTCTTTTATATCGCAGAAAGTGAAGAGATTAAAAATATTGCTTTAAATCAGCTGAAATTAAATCCGTCTTGCAGGAAAGTTTATACACGTGTATTAATGTAAAGGCACTATAATGCACTGTTTTATCTTAGCCTCAGTGAACAAACCGGTGTTCAGCAGCAAGTGAACGACTCTACACCCCCTTCTTCCTCTGTCTGAAGAAAGTCATTCGGATGTCATTTGTTTCGTTCACTGACTGACTGATACATTTCATTTACTGACTGAAACATGTCTTCAGACTGAGTAAAACATGTTGTTCACTGACATTTCGTTCACTGACTGATACATGTCATCCAAAGACGTTGTGTTTACAATGTATTGTCAGATTTTCTTCTTCAGTAAAACATCCAATCTTAGACTGTGTCATCAGGATTACACCTTGGCCTTTAAGCGTCCCAAGATCAGTCTGTATGGAGAGCAAAAGAAGGAGGAACACAGGCCTCTGATATGACCTCCAGCTCCCATTGTTGGGAGGATTTGTGTCTCTGTATGAAGGTCGGCTAACAGTCTGTTTTAGATCAAACATTTACACTGAGACACTAATCTGACTGATGCTGAGTCACTAAGATTTACAGACTTCCCTGAATGCATCAGAAATGATGGATCTGACCTCCATTCAACAAACAAACATTTTCAAAGTAGTTTTCTCCTTAAGACCTGACAAAGATGGACTTAGGACGAATCTGCATTATAGTGCTGTTTTTTTAGAAACGTGAGACATGTAAATCACAAGAACATCCATTTATTTTTTCTGGTTTATATTTTGCTGAAGCAATTACGAGTAAATTATTTCCATTACGTTCTTTTTACGTTGAAACTGAGACTCAGCACAATCAGACAAACCACAAGTAAGAGCAAAGCTTTAGTGTTTCTTTATTTTGACGGTGAAACTGAGACCCAGAGGGTTGAAACCCCTGAATTCTGCCAGCTAGAAGCCATCATATTTAGTAGCTATTGGCTTGCTTAATAGTCGCCAGAAATTGCTAAATTATAACATCGTCTAATTTTCATAATTGGACAAATTGTAATGTAAGGGGGGAGGAACGTCGTGGGAGAGACAAAAAGTGAGTAAAAAACACCCCAAATATGTTTAGAACTACAAATTAACTTCTTTCTGTCGATTCTTTTTTTTTTTTTTTTCAAATGTTGCAATACCAACCCTCCTCCTTTATCCGGGCTTGGGACCGGCAAAAATGACCCAATTGAGACAATTTGGTGGAGTTACTGAGGTTTTTTTTTTTTTTTTTTTTTTTTAATTTAATTTTTTTTTTTTTTTTTATATGTTTAATTAAGTTTTGGGGGAAAGGGGGAATTTTGTTTTACGACACCTCAATTTACCTAATCATAGGTGTTTTGGGCTATTTGGGAGAAACTGGAGCTCCCGGAGGAAACCCATGCAGACACATCTAATTCACATATTTTACATTAAGAAACAAAGGGGGAATTTTTTTTTGACAACGCTTCAATTTTACCTAATCATACGCTTGTTGGGCTATTTGGGAAAAACCGGAGCTCCAGGAGAAAACCCATGCAGACACGAGGAGAACACGCCAACTCCACACAGAGTCTGACCTCCGTGAAGCCACCGTGCTGCTCAAGAGATCTGGGATAGTTTTTACGGCACATCACGTCACCTGGAGGATTTTGCACGGGATCAAAGCCATAAGCCAAAAACCCGCCAGATGCATGTTCTTTGCGCTCCATCAGCACTGTGTTCTGGTTCTGGTTCCAACAACGCATGCCATGGCAGCGTAGCAGCAGCCCTAGGCAGCTGCAACACTGCTGCCATGCTGCCAGTGAGTGATGGCGTGTGCTGTTGGCCTGAGCTGGAATGCAGCACTGAAATCCCCCAGGTGAGGTGCTGTGCTGTAAAAACTATCTCAGAGAGATTCAGTTCACAGAGTGAACGCAGTTGCTGAAGCGACAAGACTTCTTCCGGAGCCACCGACCGAATCGGACCACACAGTTCTGACCTTTCTTCTTCTCCTTCTTCTCCCCCGGTCTCCTCTCAGTGTCACTCTCATCCTGGAAATACCTGGGAAGACAAGGTCTCCTTTTCGGCTCCAAGTCTTCCTCTGAGTCTTCTTCCGATATAGAGAGAGAACTCATGAAGAATTCAGGGGGTTTAGGTTTAACCTGGATAATTAGGGGTTTCCGTGGGGTCTTCTTCTCCACCTGTCTCCTCTCGACTGGAACCGGGTCACCTTAACAATGAAAATCAAAGGAAGACAGAGATTAGCGTTAGTGCCACAACTCTTCATACTTCTTGTTTATTTCAAAGTTTGAAAAAAAAATGTCAATGTAAAGTTACAGTTGTTGTTTCCGACCTGAAGTGACAGTCCTGTCCTCTGAGGTCTCCCCTTCAGTGTCACTCTCATCCTGGAAATACCTGGGAAGACAAGGTCTCCTTTTCGGCTCCAAGTCTTCCTCTGAGTCTTCTTCCGATATAGAGGAGTGTTCAGCGGGTTCAGGTTTAACCTGGATAATTAGGGGTTTCCGTGGGGTCTGGGTATTAGGTTTAACCAGGGTCAATAAGGGTGTCCGTGGGGTCTGTTCATTAAAGCCACTGCTGCCCCTGGAGCTGTGAAGGTAAAATTATATGCAGTCAATCACAGGTATATGAAGATTATACTCTAGAAATGCACAAGGGTGTACCATAAGGTTCTGTCCCGGGCCTACTGCCTTTTGATATGAACCTGACATGTTCTGACAGAATACTCTAAACTCTGGTATGAAATTCTGTGATGATAATTATCTCATTTACTCTTGTTCACCTACACCTGCTAAAGTTCATTTAAACTTTCATCAGGCATTTGATCGAAGTATAAGATGAACTTTAAAAACTACAAATCATTTTAAACATATGTAGAACTTGTGCTTTTTTAAATGATGATTATTAACAGCTTTTAAAACAATAATAATCCTAAATCTCTCTGTCTAAAGGTAATATATGAAATCAGTTCATATGTATTTAAAACCATCGTCTGTATATAGTAAGGACAACATGACCTAGACTGTGCCTGTCACCGGGGGATTCTGTTCTCGCTAAGGTTTCACCTAGCGAGAAGCCAGATGATGTCCATTGTATATGCAGTCTATGGCATAAACAGACACTTACTCAGAGCTTTGCTTTGCGTTGGTGATAAATGGATGGGCGAGGACTTCGCTTGGGGTGATTCTCTTGCTGGGATCCATCTGAAGCATGGCCTTCAAAAGGTTGATGCACTCCTTCTTCTCATTGGCATCCTCGCCAGCAAGGGTGGTTAGCTAATGGAGGAAACAAAGTGGAGAAAAGTTAACTTTCTGGTTCTTGAAGAGCTTAATTTAGAGCTGCAACTATCTGGATTTTAACACTTACTTTTTCCAGCTGGTCCAGGCTTTCAAAAGGGCAGTGGCAGGAGTCAATAAACCAAACGTCTGTTTGAGCATACTCGTAAGGGGTCTGAAACGATAAAGAATTATTTTTAGAAATCTCTCCATCATTGATCACTATGTGGAAAATCTAGAAAAAGGTAATCTTAACTGTGGTAGAAATTTAAGATGAAACTGTTCAGGATCTTACCTTCAGTCTCCATTGGCCAGAAGTCTTTTTGCAATACATCCTGGTTCTCAACCCGTTATCAAAAACGTGGTTTGGAGGAGCACCGAGGACCTTGATCATGGAATGCAGCTGCAAAACAACAAAGATTAACATCAACATGTTAAATAAATCAATCAATTAAAATTTAAAAAAAAAAATAGCAAAAATGTTCTTGAACCACTAAACAACCATTGACTTAATTCTCTAAGTTGAATTTAGACTTTTTTCTTGTAACCTGGACATTTTTTTTCAAAAGTGCATGCTGAAAATAATATGTCCTCCCTCTCAAGGTGTGAATCTGGTCCGACAGCCTCATAAAGGAGATGCAAGCAACTTTTAACCACTGAAGTTCACTGTCTCTTTGTTAAATGACCAGCAAGACTGAATCCAACAGGAGAAAAGAAATGAAATGAAAAAGAAATATTTCAAAAACTTACAGCATCATATTCCAAGTTTGCTGGAAAGAGCGTATATCCAGTTAGCATGAACGCCATCACCACACCGAGAGACCACATGTCAATGGCCTCTGAAAACGGCTGCCCTAAAATGATCTCTGGAGCCCTGAAAGTGACACAAAATCAGAACGTTAATTAAGAAAACTTTTCATCTCTAAGTAAGATATCATTAGCCTTGCTGTGCCATCCTGTTGTGTGAATCACTTGCCGTTCCTTTCCACAACAGTCTGGACTTCTTCCCACTGGGAGCATATATTCCCGGTCAGAAAATAACCTGACTGGAAATACACACTCCCAATGGGCCAAGGTCCAGACTGTCGTGGGAAGGAACGGCAAGTGATTCGCGCAACAGGATGGCTCAGCCAGGCTAAGATATCACATCTTGCAGGAGGGATAGAGCTTACCTGAAGTTTAAAACTTGTTTGCGTTGGCCCTGCACCGCAGAGCTGGTTGGAAAAGCCAATCCAAAGTCAATGAGCTTGACCTGGAGAGGCTCCTCATCTGAGTCCACCACCATGATGTTGTCCGGCTTTATATCCGAGTGGATCACTTTGTTGGTCTTCAGAACATCCAAGGCTGTAGCCATCTGCAAATCAGACAAAGTACACAGTCAGAGCAAAGAAATTAAACTTTGACAACAATAATAATAATAATAATATCTAGAAAACTACCTCCCCAAATGCCACCTGTTGGTCATTAGAGAGATAGCAGATTTTTCCTTATTTGTCTCACTTCCTGTGAGCAGTCTATCAGCAGCCGTGACGGCTGGTTATTGATTGGTCTGCTCTTTTCTTACCTGATGGATGACGCTTCTAACGTTGGCCAGATTTAGAGGGTCAAAGCTACGGGTGACTGTCATATGTTTCCAAAGAGTCTCATCCAACATCTCAAACACTAAGCCTTTGATGTTATCCTTCAGTGGAATCATCTCAATATACCTGACGATGTTCTTCTCGTCCAAGTTGTTCCTCTTGAAGAATTCCATCAAATCATACTGTAGATGAAACAGAGAAACACAATGTTAAAACTCATTTCTTGAGATGTTTACATATTCCTAACTTTGTTTCTTGGTAATAAAATAAGGTGTGTGTATGACAAAATTCATAATAAAAAGGAAAGATGCATTTTTGCTGAGAACACTGATTGTTAAAATCTGAGTAGGACCTAGGACCTTAGAGTGGTATCTGTGTAAGGTGTTTTCTGCCTGTAACACAGACATGACAAACCTCAAGTATAGAGGTTTGAGCCCACCAGGTGTTTCTGTCTGTTTTTGGTTCTCTATTATGTGAAAACTAAAAGTGTCTAAAGCATTGAACTTACCTCATTTCTAAACTCCTCGGTATCACGTAGGACCTTTATGGCAACGATATCATCGGTGTCCACTTTTAAACATTTTAGCACGACCCCAAAGCACCCACGTCCAGCCTCCTTCAGCAAACAGTAGTTACTGGGGAGGATGTTGGCATAGTCTTTATTCATGGTCATGTTATTTTTTTTAAAGTGTAGGGAAATGAAGATCAGCTTAATATGAGCTGAGTTGCAGAAAGAGCGCAGAGTGACAAAACTTTTCTGTGTATTGTAGTCTTTGCTTCAATGTAAGGTTTAACCCTTACATTGATGTCATGATGTCATGATGACATCATTACAGAGTAATGATGACACATTAAAGCCCCAAAATTCTAGAAGCAGGTTTAAAAAATGCTGAGGAGCTTCTTGTCGCCATAGCAACACAGTTGACAAAAGTAGAACAGCGGAGGCCATTTTTTGACTGTATTCATGGACACTTGTGGATACAAACCATAGATTGTTTATATTATAAACACAGTTTATGTGGCAGTGTGCGAATTTGAGGCCTAATTGCTCTCGTATTTGCGGGAGTTTTCCCTATTTCCTGAAACTAGCATTTACACAGTAGCATTCAGGATAGACTAGCTGTGATTACGCTCTGCCGACAGAATATGATTGTGAGTTTTGTTTGGTGGTGGTCGGAGACCTGCGTGAAGCTGGCCCCCCACCCCACGAGAAATCTTGGGAAAACAGTCTGCTTCATTTGTGCTTCGTTTGTGCTGGTTTGTGCCGTTAAAATTTTCATTTGTGCTGCTATGGTTTTTAAGTTATTAGATATTGTTTTATAGGTCATCCAGAGGTCACCCAGCCCCCCACTTGTTCTGAATGCACCCAAAATTGTGCCATTCATCAGTGCTTTGTTTGTGCTGTTAAATTTTCACCATTTCAGGTCCATTCGGAACAAATGGGGGGCTGGGTGACCTCTGAATGACCTATAAACAATATTTAATAACTTGAAAACCATAGCAGCACAAACAAAAATGTTAACGGTACAAACCAGCACAATTGAAGCAAACTATTTTCCTGAAATTTTGTGTGGCGTGGGGTGGGGGGCAGCTTCACCTGGTTGGTCAGAGAGGCCGTAGCATTCTGCGATATTGCCATAGGTATGAACAGCCACATAAAATTTGGTATACAGATCAGGAGGGGCATCCTCTTGTGGGTTCCAGTGTCAAAATGGAGATACAACCAAAATTGGATTCATAGCGCTCCTACAAAATTTCGAAAAAATTAAGCCACAGCCCCTGTGTGTGGTCCATCGCTATGGAATCACAAAGTTGGAGATGCAACACCGCTCGGGCCTGTTTATTTGGCCACAATTATTATTATTATTATTATTATTATTAGTGTAATAATAGTAATAATGGACTGTAACGCACTTTGTGTTACATCCTTTGTGTGAAAAGTGCTTTTTAAATAAAGTTTGATTATGATTATCATTATTTTTATTATTATTATTACTATTATTATTTTTAGTAGTATTAGTATTATTTTGTATTCTGATTGATTTAGTTACACGCATTATTAACAGTTACAGGACCATTCCCATTGCAATCATAATGTTCTGCATGCACTTTGTTCCTTGACCTCTAGTCACTTTACTGTACATTTTGACATGTAGCAAGTGTACATATGATCAATAATGCCAATAAAGCTTAGCTTGATTACTACTTACATTTTCAACAATCCATTGGTGAAAAGCCAGATCAGCTGTTGCATCAATTGCTGTCATACATGCCTGTTTGTACTGAAAAGGAATAATTTATCAAAGCAGAATCAGGTCTATTGGCCAAGTTTGTGTCAGCATAGCTCTCTATGTGCACATTTAACATGAAATATTCAGTGACCAACCAATAGACTATAACAACAAGCCAACCATCATTGTAATTTACCCTAAGATTGTTCAGTGCATTCAAAAATTTAACATCAGCTTAGCTTGATTTGTTTTTGAGGCTGAACTCTTATTTACCAATCTCCTCGCACTCCTCGCCACTCATTCAGCACCAGTTCTTTCTGTAGTAGTTCCCGTTTCACAGGGTCTTTCTTATCTTCAATCACAGCTGTATTGGACACCATCTTGCCTTCCGCTTTGCCTTGGTGGCTCCTGTCCGCTGCTGGCTGGGAGGATTTCGGCCTGGTGTTGATGTTTAGCTCTTATAACTGGTATCCCGCAGAGGATACGCTCCTGTCCAAATCCATTGTTGATCGCCTATGGTACAAGGTAGACAAGGCCTGGAACTATTAGCTCAAACTGAAAGAATTAACAATGACCAAATCGCGGTTGATGCCCAAGTAAGGAAATCAGTGCCAGTGCCAGCACACTATGCTTTTTGTGGACGTTTCCATGGAAACTATGGAAGCAAATTTGTATCGATACGAATTTACCTGCACTTCTTGACTCATAAATAAAATTAAAAATTAATAATAGGAACTACAATTGCTTTTTCTTTTTCAAAACTGATAATAATGTAACTTAATTCAAATGTAAATGAAAAAGCCATTTGAGATTTAATTTTCAAAATATGCCCTCGCAAATATGCACCTAAACTCAATTCAAAATGTCAAATCTGAAAACTGAAATGCATTTGCAGTATGGCTTTTTCGTTCCAAAGTCAAAACTGCATAATTTGACTCAGAAATAAAATTAAGAATAAATAATACAAACTGCATTTTCATTTCATTATTTGAGCTACACATTTCGTAACACAATTCAAAAGAGAAACCAAATGGGCAATTGCTTTTTCATTTTCATGTCCACCTGTCGCTATCCGAATTGCGCAAGTGCAACTTAACTTCACCTTAAAAACTTTATTTAAACTGTGTGACTATAGACTGTATATAGAATGGACGCTGTCTGCCTCCTTGCTGAGTGAAGCCACTCCGAGAACAGCACCCTCTGTTGACGGCCCCAGCCAGCAAAGCTTATGGGGCTGTGGAAAAAATTTATAAATTTATTACACAGAACATAAATTTTTCTTCCTCCCTGCTTGTGGTGTTGACATGTAGTTACTGTAAGACTGGTTTGTGCTCAAGTCCTCTTTTTTCTGTGAAGCTCCACCTTTAAAAATTATTAGGGGGTTCATGTTTTCTTTGATTGACATCTGATACAGCCTATTGGCATCCAGGGATTGCGTAGCTCACCCGGGGGATACGCTGTTTGAGCCCAGTGTCATCACCGCGACTCTCGGCAACTCTCCCACCAAATGCGCACAACGCTACTGTGCAATGCTGGTTTCAGGAAAGGAAGAAAAATACTGGAAATACAGAGATTTTTGGCTTCAAATCGGCATACTGGCGGGAGGCGGAAAGAAGTTGTCCAAGTTGTCTATGTGTGTGACAGGCTAGCCAGCAGGAGGCTCCAGAGCTAATGCTGAGGCATTTGCCAGAGCTCCTGCCCAGCACGGTGAGACCTTTGGGCCACAGAGAGTGCTGCCACCCGGTCAAAATTATGGCTCTCTGACTTTTCAAAGTATCAAGGGGGGATGCTCTGAAGGTGTGTGGCCACCAATTGTACACATTTCCATAACCCAGGTTATGGACAGTGAATTTCAGTGTTTTTATACCATTCTCCAACAGCAGACTCAGCATTGCGCATTAATTCCAAGAGTTCTGTGGTGAGCACCAGTCCGTGGCTCTCCTTGATAACCTTTGCTTTGAAACTGGGCCACCTTTCTAAGAATTTGTTGGCAGTGACCTCACCAAACAGGAGCCTGAAATCATGTTCTTTCTGTAATGCAAAGTACATAGAAAGGAATGATAAATGACACTGCATGCTGCATGGGATGTTTCTGTTATTCAACAAATGAGGATGCCTTACCAGTCCTGGTGTGTCCAGAAACCGTGGAGAGACTGAAAAGACATCTGCTGCTTTCTTTTCATCACTGACCAGTGACTGACGATAACTGAGGGTAGCCTTAATCTTCTCACGCACAGTGTTTTCATCAGCAGTGTGTTTCAAAACAGTAATAGCTGCTTCCACGTCCTCATTTGATAATACTTTGACAGCTG